GGTTTATACAGATTTGTTCTAAACAAGTCTAGTGTTATTTAATGTTCTCTGAACCTAAATCTTAGATGAAGTTGCAATAATCATTTCTATGTTAAATCTTATTTTGATTATAACTATTTTATAATGGTTAATAACCAAGTTTTGGTTTGTTCACCTATTCACCTCAAAAAAAAAATTGAGGTAGGTTTACCATTCAAGTTTTATGTTTGTTCAATTTATATGAAAAGAAGTAAAATAAAACTTGTTTGACCATTGACTTAACAATGATATGATAATATAATCACGAAATGATAATGACATGACAACATACTTGAAATAATTTTTGAGTGAATTAAATAAGTTGTCCTTTGTGGTCTGCAAAAAATTATTGATTGTCCATATCCTAAAAGTTTAACCATCTCGTTCTCCCATTCTCCATCTCTGTGGTTCGGGATTTGCAACTCTTGTTCTTAGTCGATTTAAAATGATCGATTAACCCTCACCTTTATTTGTATTTCTTTTATTACTAATATATTTTAATAATTGATATAAATATATAAATGGTCCTACTCTTCCTTCCCCTCCGCCCCCTCCATCTCCCTCACCCTCTCCTCAGGACATGACCCTTCTTCTCCTGTTGTCTTCTCCGACGGTCATCACCCATCACTGATGAGAGCACCATTGTTGACTCCATGGGACTAGAGAGATTTGTTGTTTGATTACTTCCCAACTCTTCTCCTCAATGTCTCCCAGTACCACTCCAAATCTCTTTGCCAATGCCTACAAATTCAATTTTAAAGATAATAGTATAACACTCAGATTCAACTTTGCATGGAGGGGGGTAATCATTTCATCCACCATGTGCCCGTTTGGCAATGCTTGCGAGGAGAACGAGATACACATTTTCAAGAAATGTTCCATAGCTAAGGAGATTCATGGGCTCCTAATCATTTGGTGGAATGATCTTCCTATCTTGAACAACTCATTTGATGCCTTCCTGGGGATAAACTCTACCTATAGTGTGGTCAGCAGGTCTCAAGATATTCTTGAATCAATTTCAAGGGCGCTACTATGGACCATATGGGCAAACAGGAACAGTATGCTCTTTAATAGCAAGATGAATAGATTGTCTACTCTATCTTATGAGGTCAAGATTTTGAGTTTTTTAGGGCTTAAAAGTAGAGCTAAATGGGGTAAGGATTTTTTATGGGACTCTTGGGTTAACAACCCTCTATAATGTACAATGTAATTCCTGCTCCTTGCAGTTCAATTTACAAAAATCTAGCTGTTAAGAAAAAGGTATAATACCCATAAATGAGCGTTAGATGTTTTTTTAAAAACTAGACTTTATTATAAACAAACCGCAAGAAGCAGGAATTACATAGTACACTATAAAGGGTTGTTAACCCATGGGCCCCATAACAAATCCATTTAGCTCTACTTTTAAGCCATAAAAAGCTCAAAGTCTTACTTATTCTAATTAACTAGCGTTAGATGTTACCCTACTTTAATTAACATTGTATTAATCAATGGTTTATTTTACGAGAAAATCGGATGTAGGTGTTTGAAGCAGAAAAATAAAGACGAAGACTTCGCAATTAATGAAATCTAAGGTATGTGGTGCTAGTGTAATACAATTTTCGGCCGTATGATCTATCTTCATTATATTTAAGTTTTAGGCTTGATATGTCATTAAACCATTATTCTTTATTGGGATGTAAATGTGATGAATCGGGCTTTTGTAGGTAAAATTTGGATAAAGCATAGTTTGTTGGCCTAGGCGTGTAATAAAATAAGTTTCCAACGCTTAAACCCTTTATGGTTTATGATAGCCTCTATTCTTGAGAAGTTAATAAAAATGTGAGAAAACCTTTGTTTTGTAAGGGAATTCGATTTTGAGCAAGAGAGATTGTATTTGTTGTTGTGTCTTCTCGATTTCCTAGTCAAGGATCATCCAAGCTTTCTGTTTAATCCATTTATTAGATTGGGAGTGAGTTATTGGATTGAAAATAAAGACTGATAACTGAAATCATTAATGTGAAGATTAAATGGATTAATTTGATATTTGGAAGTGTTAGAACATTGTTTTTTATGCTTAAGATTGATTCCAATCAAAATGAATCATTGAAATCGATTTCCTAAGAGCATCCACAATCCATTGAACTCTACATTACTGCCACATCATCCACAATTCCACATTCCATTAAACCCTATGTGGTTTAATGAAATTCCACATCATCGGCATTATATTTTTAAGCATAATTATAAATTTAAAACTAAAAGATATAACAGTTAAAAAAAGAATATAATACTTAAAAATACATTAATTAAAAAGTTACGAAACCTAAAACATTTAATACCTAAAAATACATTAATTAAAAAACACTTGGAACGTTTTTTACATGACAGTCAAAATAATGTGTAATAGTTTGAAAGTTAATTGAAAAACAAAGATTAATTTCATTCAACCACTCAATCATCATACAACTCTTCCATTCAACCATCCTCCATGTCATCACCCACATTCAATTCAACCTCTATCCAATCCTAATCAACATGTATTCAACTCCTATTAAACTCCCATTGTGAATGCCCTAATATTTTAAAGAGATTTAGGATTGGATTGGGATCAAGAACCTTTATTTTTCAAGAAAACCCCTCAACACCTCCCATACAACCGTGCATGGCACTTGCCAACCAGTACAATATCCTCAAATTTGGTTGTGAGGCTGTACATACCGACATAAATTCATTTTGGGTCCAACCCCATATGATAGTGTTGGAAATCAATGACGTTTAAAACCTTTTTCAAACAATAGAATATAAAAAAGTACCGGAATACATATAAAAATAAATATGAATATAATGATTTGGAAATAAGCGTGAATCCAAATGAGTTAAATAGATTAACTACAAAACCAGTCACAACAAGGATTTATATACATATATACACCTTGATCGAGGAGTGAATGATATAGAACGAATGTTCAAGGAAAAATACATTTATGGATATCCACACGAGCATCTTGAAACATCAATTAGAATGTTAACTCCTCGTTACAATCAAAACAAGCATTTCCTTTATTTTTCTTGGATCAAAATCAAAGAAGAAGGGGGCGCCTTCAGCCATTGATGGGAAGAGGAAAGGAAAAGGGTGTAAACCCTAATCTCAAAATCCTTTTGTTTAATTGAATATTACAAGGTTGTGGGATTTGATCCCCTTAAGCATTTTCAATCGATTAGACCACAAAGTCCAACCTTATCATATGGACAAACACACTTTATTTATTAGACAATAGACATTAGATAGACCCACTTAGCCCAAAACTAATAAATAAACTTTTTGGTGGAATATTTTTACTTGTGCATTTTGTTGGCGTGTAGGGCTATTTGAGGACATGGCTAGGAGATGGTTAAAAGAGGCCCTAGTTAAATTTCAAGGAAAATAGACAAAAATCAGAGAAGATATGAACAAAAAGTTTTTCAACATTGAGGAACTATGTTTTTCCACACTTGAAATACATGGACAGTGTAACCGGTGATTTTAGCATAAAAGTGAAACACGATTTAAATCGAAGGAAAATTACTTTTGATTTACATGGTCCGTGTTTTTCACCACTTGAATTACACCAGTCGTGTAATAGGCATACACCAATTATTGGGGCACTTTCCTAATCTGTTAAAAAAAATGGAGTTGGGTTCATTTCTAAACAGCTTTGATTTTTGGAAGAAAAGGTGATTTTGAGAGAAACTTTTGCTTTGAATATCATTTGGAAAAACTTGTTTAACTCTTTGTAACTTATTTTTATTGTACTTTGATTATAGTTTGAACTTGTAAGTATTTTAAGTCATGATATGCTAAAAAACAAATTCCGGTTTCGTTATTGATTTCTAATGCAGTTAATTTGTAAGGTTTGATGTTAAAGCAAGATCATCTAATCTAGTGGTTCAAGTTTTGTTTGTATTATAATCTTGAATTTATAACTTGATTCAAGTTTGCCACTTGAGTTAGGTTAGTTCTTGTATTGCTATTTAGTTCATGGAAATCGTAATTGTTTTGTGAATTAAAGCTCGTAACAATCATCGAATTGGTTCTATGAAAGGGTTTAATTTCTTTGTAAACTTGAATTTACACATTTTCACACTTCCATTCTTATGAGGAGAAATGGATATTGCTGGGAATGCTTGTAAACGTCATGCAACTTTTCAATTTATTTTAAGAGTTTGTTTAGACTAAGTTAGTAAGGTTAGGTTTAGCTTAAGAGTTTATTTTAACTAAATAATTTAACAAGCTAGGAGATACTAGAGCCTGTTAGTATTTCCTAGTACCAAGTTATATTAAAATCTAAATTGACATCAAATAATTTATTTTTTTGAATAGCAGATCAGTTGGTTAGATGTTAGAACTCCAAAGTTAGAAAACTCCTTTGCCCAGCCGAGGTTCGAACCTGGGGCTTCTACTCCAAGAGGCATTAACCTCTACCAAGTACCAACCAGCCTAACCCAGTTGGCAACATCAAATAATTATTAACTTGTATATTTGATGAAATAGATACAAAACTAGATCTTATTTCTTTTTTTTTTCAACCCTTATTTTTAGTGCATGTTAACAAAAACTTAGTTTATCAAATACAACCCCCCATTGTTTTATCATTCTTGTTTTAAGACTTGTACATTTTATATAAAAGGTGTGTGACCGTTTATCACTTACAAGACTTGGATATCCATTTGAGATAGAGTTTGTGTTGGCATTATAGGAGGCCTTCATGACACATTAGGTCTTAAAAACCTTCTATGTGGTGCATGTGTATGTACAGTCGAAGAGTTTTGAGCTTATGAGTTTCTAACTATGTTTTGTGCCTACTAAGATAACATATCATAATTAACCATGAATCCTTGGGGATAGACCTTAGGAGCACTTTCAGAGAAGGACATATAAATGAACCCTTTGGGATAGATAGATAGACAGAGAGACATATATATATATATATATATATATATATATATATATATATATAGAGAGAGAGAGAGAGAGAGAGGGTTTACATGGTTTATGTCTGGTTGACAGCAGATTGATAAATCAGCCTCAGCCTCCAAGTGGGAGATTTTACTTCGAAATGTGGATTGTCTTTTGACCTCATTGTTGCTTCTTAAGTTTAGCAATAGGTCCCACTCTTACCTACAAAATACACATATCAAATCTAACACTCTTTTGATCTCTCAGGAAATCTAAACATAAAACACCTTACAAGAATGGAAGCATACAATCAAAAGCAAGGCAAAGGGTTTATGTGTGTGGGCATAATAGATCCGAACTCAGTGAAATGAATGGTGTACATGTTATGGTACAACTATAGTGGCAACTAGAGCAGTAGTTACGTTGCTCGCTCGAAGATTTAAATCTATAGTACCTAATATCGGTTGGATTGAAATTGACATGCTCATGCCTTTGAAAATCAATACCACACCTTATTTGTAGCATTGTTAAATTTGTGCTATCTTTTCATCAAATAACAACCAATTTTCGTAGTTATTATTAAGTTCTCTGTTTTAGGATAATGTTATAAATAAATACCAACTTTTTAAAATGTTCAAAAAACACTCTTAAACTAAAACTATATTATCAAATGTAAGATATTCAACTTTTGTTCAAAAAGTACCATAATGATATTCCATAGCCTTTTAATACAAAAATTGGCCATGTTGGTTCAAAAAAATACACCAACCTCATGGAATGTTTGTTCAGAAAAACTGCAAACCACTTCAATTAAACACCACTCACCACCTCCACCCCACCCATTCTTTTACTTTTCTCTGCAGATTTTCCAGTTGGCACCACAGCTTTGACATTCCCATTGACTCTTAAGTACCAACCACCGTAAGCTCAGTCAATCTTGCATTTCTTCCACATCCATTATCCTTGATTGCAAAGCTTCTCTTCCATTGATTCTTATCCGTTCTTCTTCTGTAGGTTCAGTTGCATTCAAGCCACAATAAGGAGGAAAATCTCGAACCCCAAAAACTCTTCTTTGAGGAAAATTCATATTTCGTATAGATTCATTGATAACACTACCACCATCATCATCAGTCTCAACCATTGAATTAACAGGGCCCTGATTTCATCCTTCAACATGGTTTGATTGTCTACTTTCTGAAACTCCACAATCATCCACATCTTTCCATCTTTTATAGATTTTGACATATCGTGAGATAAAAGTTTAACCTGTCTCGATATCGTTATCTTGATTATTCTTATTGATCGATGATGAAGATGGATTAACTTCCAGAGAACCCATAATCGGTCCACAACCTCACGGATAATCCCTAACAGAAGACACGTTGCAGGGATTCCCTTCACATGGAGGAACAGAAGCCCCATTAAAGAAACAAATACCATTCTGATTTCGACCTCTTATCACACTTCCATCAGTTAAAAAGTCGTCCGACATAAGCACTATTATCTAAAAGAAAATCAACCCTGGATTCCTGAGCACCTAACCGATAATCAAACAGATGATTAACAAATTAAGAATGAACATGATTTAGGGTTACAAAAAGAAAGAACGAGTAGAAAACCTGTAGCGAAAACTGAAACAATCGGGTGGTGGTGGTGGTGGTGGTGGTGGTGAATAGTGTTTGGAGTGATCGACCCTTGCAATCTAACCGATACTAACATAAGATAGATACTAAAATAACATAGGAAGAAAAAGTTTTAACTTTGAATGTTACCTTAAATTGTCCCCGGAGATCTTCCGAATTCTATCGGCCAGATTTCTTGCGGTTTTTCTTCGACCTTCTACTGTTCTACCTTCCCGGAAAATCTTTGGAATCTATTTATAATTTTATAGGCTAACAATGACTCATGGTCTGAATTTACACTCTACCCCCTTTTTATTTCTTGAGTAAATTACACGAATGGTCCCTATGGTTTAGGGTAATTTGCACGTTTGGTCCCTAACTTATTTTTTTAACTCCAAAGGTCCCTATTGTTTGTTTTTGTTACGCGCTTGGTCCCTGTCTTACATAAAAAGACTATTTTACCCTTGATTTCTTTAATTTATTTAAATAAACACACCCCCAACCCTACCCCTTCACATTATCTCACCTACCATAACATTTTTTCATATTTAAATAATAGTATTTTTAGCTAAGATAGGGACCAAACACGTAAGAAAAACAAATAGTAGGGACCAAGCGCGTAACAAAAACAAATAATAAGGATCTTCCGAGTTAAAAAAATAAGTTGGGGACCAATCATGCAAATTACCCCAAACCTAGGAACCATTCGTGTAATTTACTCTTATTTCTTTTACCTCTTAAAGATTTATCCTTTGATTGTATTCTAATTAATTCTAACCACCCATAAAATCTTATTAAAAAAAAGGAAAATGATTTATAAGGATAACTATATTTTAAAATCATTCAAAAAACATCATTCAAATTTGGGTTGTTTAAAAAGCATCATCCAAGTAAGGCTTTTGTAAAAAAATTAAAAAAAAAAAAAACAAAAACAATAAAAAAAAAAAAAAACAAAACAAAACAAAACAAAACAAACACCAACGAACTATATACTTTGTTCAAATTTCGCTTTATGGTAACCAACATTCATTGGTAAAAATTAATTAAGGGAAAATAAACAAGAAAAAATGACTCAGGAGGGTAACTATGTTTTAATATCGTTCAAAAACACTATCCAAGTTTTGGTTTGTTCAAAAACATCATCCAAATAAGGTCTTTGTAAAAAGACACCAACAAACTATATATATTTTGTTCAATTGTTAATCACTGGTAGCCAACTCTTGTAGGATAAAGGTTGTCTTTGTCTAATTATTGGTGACATGGCATAATAATTAGTGATATGTCATTCGTTGATACATTCCTCATTTAAAAATTAATTTAGGGCTTCTATATGAATTGACTGCTAGTATTTTTTGAAAAAAATGAGATAAATGTCCATAAGTAGCTAAAGGAATGAAATTTGTGAAAAAAGGAAGATGCATAATAGTTCGTAGTCATGACTTGTTAGGTACGATGCAAACAACAAGTACATTTCACCACACTACAGTTGGCATAAATATTCGTTAACACATTGTTGTAGTCACATTACAAGTTAGCATACATATTCAAAAAAAAAGTTTTGTAACACCTCGATCCAGGTATTTTTCCATTTATACCCCTTAGAATGAAATTTGTTGCAAAATTAGTATCATGGTCACATAATGAGATATGCGTGGTTTCTCACGTATGTTAAGCGTACTCATATGTATGCAGGGCGTATGTGGCAAAGTGCAAACCCTAATTCTTTGGGTTTGGGCACTATTTAAGCATCATTAACTTCTTAACACTTATTCCCTTATCAACCTCCACCTTCAAATTCATCCTTAGAAAACCCTAATCATTTGAGTGAGCCTTTTTGAGATTACGAGTGCATTTTTGGTGTTCTTGAAGGAAGGAAAAGGAGAGGAAATTTGCTTAGAAGTTAAATGCATCTTGGATCCAGAAGTGTTTCACCCTCACTGTAACACCCGGTTCCCGGTACGTATCTAAATATAATTAATTGTATGTTTTTACACTGGGACTCGGCGAGTTGGAGGCCTAACTCGTCGAGTAGACTAGACTCCTGGACGCGGGTTTTAACCTACTCGACGAGTAGGACTGTCTGGATGAAACCCTAATATTTAGGGTTTGCACCCTATTTAAACACCTTATCTTGTCTCAACCCAGCCTCCATCGTCGCTCCCAGTCCAGAAAATCCCTAACTCGAAACCCTAATCATTCATTGAGTGTTCTTGAGCTTTTTTGTAACGTCTATAAAAATCATGTCAAATTTGAACTTTTTAAAACATTTAAAAATCATTAAGTTGTTACAATTTGTTTTCAAAATAGTATCATATCAGAGTTCCCATAAATCATAAATCATAAATCAAGGAAGTGTACAATCACGCCTTCACCTTCCCGCGATCATCCGAAGTCTGAAACAATAATCAATAAATGTAAGCTCGAAGGCTTAGTGAGCTACCCGCAAAATACCAACGCCATACAGATATAACCATATCATATAAAGAAATAAGCAAACAGCATGCATAATTAGCCATCAGTCTGACTGGACCGACTCTCGATCCTCAGTCTATCTGGACTGCTCTCCGTTCCCTCGACACGTCTGGACCTCCCTCTTCGGGGCCTTCAGCCTATCCGGACTGCTCGTTCGGCCTTCGTTCAGACTAGATTTACCCGGCCCAGGCCTGCAGTCTACCCGGTCTGCCCAGGGTGTCTTGGCCTACTGCACATAGCAGGACCTGCCTTAACCCTTTCCCAAACCCACAAACATGTGCACATACATATAAACAAGTAAACATGCATATCTAACCAATCACTAATCATGGCAACCATCCTACAACCAGGATACCGATCTTACTGATCACTAACATACCAACCATCCTATAACCAAGATACTGATCTAACCAATCTCTAACATAGCAATCATCCTAACTAACAGGATGTAAATCAATAAACATATGCAAATCCGATAAGGGTCGGCATTGGTGCCTTCGACCCTGTTAGTATAGTGAGGACAACTCACCTCATAATTGTCACGCTGAAGTGATAAGCTCAAACTCTCAGGTCACCTCCACAAACTCCACCACCTATATTCACCATAGAACCATATCCATAAATTTCCAGTTTCCCAAAATACCCCAGAAGTCAAAATGGTCAACCCTTGGTCAAAGTCAACAGTCCATGTTGACCCAACTCGCCGAGTGCAGCTAGCAACTCATCGAGTTCCTTAAAGGTTCAGAAAGTCATAAAACCCTCATTGACTCGCCAAGTTTACCACCAACTCGTCGATTCCATGCGTAATCTGAAGTCAAGGAAACCCTAACTGGCTTGTCGAGTCACTTTACTGACTCGCCAAGTCCATGCAGAAACCTTCTACGCTAATCTTCATCGGACTCGCCGAGTTGGCCATGCAACTCGTTGAGTCTCGTCAGTACTTCTCGTTTAAGATGCTTATAAGCCAACCCAAAGCTCCATTTCACAGATATGATTTCCTAGAGCATACTCCTTATGTAAAGTTGCAAACTTTACTTACATGCAAGGTGTAAATGGCTAAAATCAAGCTGGAGAAGAGGCTCTAAGTAAGGATAAGGAATTATCTTGCTAAAGGCTGGAACTTTATGACCATAAGAACCAAGATGAGTCTAGATCTAAAGTTGTTACTTTAGATCATGACCATTGCCCGAAATGAAACACCAAACAAGATAAAATGGCCCTAATCTTAACATAAGGAGGTCTAGGTATGAAAGGGTCAAGTTACAAGCCTTTTACCTTAGGCTAGCTCCCAAAACGATGTAGATGGCAGATCCACTTCCTTTTCTTCAATCCAAGCATCTAAATCTTTGAGTTCCCTTAATGAAAGCACCAAAACACACTTTAGTGGGTTGAACTTTGAAAATTTTCATATTGATATCCCGACTTTGGGGGACTGTAACTCATTGAATATGAAACCAAAGTTAACAAAATTTTAGTCTAAAATCATGTACAAACTCTAAAATACACTATGGAGAAAACCGCATGTCAATCCGACTTTAAACAAATGAGATATGCATGTATTAATATTTTCACAGAATACAAAGTACAAAAACAAATAGTTGAAAAGTTGAAAATTTTCAGTTTTGATATCCCGACTTCAGAGGATTGTAAATCATTGAATATTAAACCATAAATGACAAAATTATAGTCTAAACTCATGTACAAACTGTAAACTACAAGTTGAAAATAACCATATGTCAATCCGACTCGAAACGAATTAGATATACATGATTTAAAACTTTCACCGAATACAAAAAAACTGAAAAACTAAAAACTTCCAGCGTTAATATATCGACTTTGGGGGGATGTAAGTCAATGAATATAAAACTAAAAATGTCAAATTTATAGTCTAAAATCATATACATACTCTAAACTACATGTTGGAAAAAACTGCATGTCAATCGGAGTTGAAACGAATGAGATATGCATCTTTTAAACGTTTCACAAAAACCGGTTCCGGCCCTAAAAGTGTTTCCGGTTCTTAACACCGATTCCGGTTTTTAGACCCGGTTTACCCGGAACTGATGGACCCAAACCCGGATTACCTGGAACTCGGATAAAGAAAAATTTTAAACCCGGAACCGGAACCGGTTCTACATATTCTGGTTCTAACGGTTCTGGTTTGGGTCCGATTTTCCGGTTCTAAATCTCATCCTTAGTCTATATAGTCCGCTCACTCCAGACATCGGTTTGCGAATGATATATTGTGCTAAAATGTAGTTGAGTGCCCAACTTGTCGTAGAACTTCTGCCAAAAGAGGGAGGTGAATCTAACATCTCGATCGGAAACAATAGAGACGGGAACTCCGTGGCGAGCAACGATCTCGCCGACATACACGTCGGCCAGCTTCTCGATCGACAAACTCTCCCGTATGGCCAGGAAATTAGCACTCTTGGTCAATCGATCCACGATGACCCATATGGCATCATATCCCTTCGTCGTCCTCGACAACTTGGTAATGAAGTCCATCGCGATATGTTCCCATTTTCACATGGGAATCTCTAGAGGTTGTAGCTTGCCATGCGGCCTCGGATGCTCGGCCTTGACCATCTTGCAGGTCAAGCACCTCTCGACGTACCAAGCGATTTCTCGTTTCCTGCACGGCCACCAATAGCTCAACTCAAATTCTGGTACATCTTGTTGGCTCCTGGGTGAATGGAGAAGTGATACTTATAAGCGTCCTCCATAAACGTTTGTCTGACTCCACCAGACATGTGTACCCGTACCCGACCGCATCGGGTCAACAATCCCTGACTATCCTGCACAAACTGGGTGTTCTCACCCCTAATCCTCTTTAGCTTCCAATTCTCTTGACGCATACCTGATATTGCCATATTTATACATATTTTTAGGCGATATTTAAGTACATTTTTATATATTTTTTGGTCATTTGCATAGAATAATGATACTTATAAGGTTAAATTATATTTTGCAGCAAAAAAGAAGACATTTTGAAGAAAGGGACTAAAAGCGTTAAAGGATGGAACTTTGGAGGTTGAAGGCTTGAAAGACAAGAAAAACACCCAAAAAAGACGTACTCACGACGTGAGTGGAAAGAATCAGAAGATAAGCATTCGGGTGAAGGAATCATTGACGTTCACGATTACTCCAAGTTCACGATGTGAGTTTTAAATTCTCACGATGTGAACGGTGATTTTCCAGAAATATATATATATATATATATATATATATATATATATATATATATATATATATCCTTCTCCATTACAATTTGGAACAACTTTTGTTGGCTAAGAGGGTTCCTGGAGATGAAATTCATAGGAAAAGAAGCTCTGGAAGTTGGTTTTAACACCAAGGAAGAAGAGTTCATAATTTGTCTTATAGATTGGTACATTTAAATATGTTTTTGCTTATAGAATTCGTTTGTTTAGCTGTTAATATGTCCAGCTAAATATAGTTGCTTCTGTTAGCTAGATGAAGCTAGAACTCATGGTTTTAATGCATTAGACTTAACTTTAATTGTTGGTGATATGCTTCTGTTGATTGATTTTACCTAGCATGCTTGAATTAGTTATTTGATTGATTTGAATTCTTGTTCTGTGTAGTTAGTGAACACAATTCTGCATGAACTTGAATACCTAATAATATAGTGAACACTAGTTATTGGAGCTCAGATCAAACCAATATTAGATTAGTAATTGAATAATTAAGTTAAGTTGTGTTAGAGAACTCATATTATGACTATAATTGTGTTTTGATTAATTAATCTTTCATGGCTCCAATCTTATCTAATAATTGATTTTGTGTTAACTATTTTATGAACATAAATAGATTAATAATTAGTAGATTTAGAACTAAATTGCTAATACATCCTTAATTGGTCACCAACAGTAATAGTTATAACTAATGTATAACCATTAAGTGAAAGTGGATTCGAACTAACATAAGTATTTTGTTTATTGATTGAGTTTTTGTTAAAGAGTTAAGTTCATCTAAACTTGTAAAATTAGATAAAAACCCTTTTAGCTTGTGAATAATTAGATTAATTTAGTAGTAAATAAAGTAATTAATAACACCATTCCCTATTATCGACACCCGACTTAACTAAGCTATACTGTAATCTGACTAGGTACACTGCCTATAAGTGCATAGTTAGTCTAAGTTTGTTAGATTATAAATATTAAAATTAATGAGTACTTCCGTGCACATCAAGTTTTTGGCGCCGTTGCCGGGGAACGACTTAGTTTATTATTTGTTTATTTGTTTTAGGTTAATCGATCCTTTTTGTGGGATAAAACCTGCAAAAAGTTAATTTTCCAGCAAAGTTTTTATCATAAGTTTTTAATTATTTTCTGTTTGTCTAGTTTTCACGACGTGAGAGCACTTCTGATAACTTTTTATCATAAGTTTTTAATTATTTTCTGCTTGTTACCGGTCATAAGGGTAGATTGTGAACGGTTTCAATAGTTTAGTGACAAATAGATAATGAAAAAAAGTTTAGTGACTAAATGTGAACAAAATCGAAAGTTCGTTTCCCTCTAAAAAAAGTTCAGTGACTAAATATGAACAAACTTCCTCTTGTATTATGTTTTAGCAAATTATTTATTTTTGTTAAACTCTAGCAACATTTGTTGATGAAGAAATCTATGGAAAAAAAAAAAAAAAAAAAAAACCTCGAAAAATATATTAAAAAAAACGAAAAATCAAAACCGAAATAAAAAACCAATGTCCGTGAATGAAGCTAAAAATTGAAGAATTTTTGGATTGACGCAAAATGTTTATGCCATATATTAAGAGAGAGTTTTGAATAGAAAATTTCCGAATTGAGCGCTTTCGCATTCCCTTTTTGGGTTTATAATCATTTATCGATTATAAAAAGGGGGAGAGATTTAGATATTGAATTTCGAAAGTTGAATTTTTCATATTATGCGGACTTGAAGACCGAAGTGACCTCGAGTATTTGAAGTTTATGAAATGATTTGATTGGAGATTCGGAAATGATTTTGATTCATAATGAGTTTGGAATTATTGAAGATTTTTGAAGTGTGCATAAATGCTCAAATTTTGGGTAATTTTTTGGAGAATGAGAAACTCGTAATTACCTTTTGATGCTTGGTTTGTATGGTCTCATATTCTAGAACCCTGATTGAAATGTCATAGAAGAATTGAAGATTTGATGTTCATCTCTACATGTGTTGCGTTTGATGCTCGGTTCGTGAAGTTGCTCGAGTTTGGAAGATTTGAAGCGAGTCATCTATTCTTAACTTTGAGGGGGAGAATCTTGGGTACAAAGTTATCCATGTATGACTTTGTAAATGGTTTGACTTCTTTAGACCCATTTGCATGTGGTAAAGTAGCATTGTGACATGAGAGAGAGAGATTGGTTTTTTATTTCGGTTTCATTTTTTTTGTTTTTTTTAATATATTTTTTGGGGTTTTGTTTTTTTATTTCATAGATTTATTTATCAACAAATGTTGTTAGAATTTAACAAAAATAAGTAATTTGGTAAAACACAATATAAGAAGAAGTTTGTTTAGGCATGACAATCGTGTCGTGTTCGGGTTGGCGTGTCGCGGGTTTGCGGGTTTAAAACATAAACCCATATATGACCCACCAACCCATTTATTTATACGGGTTCACAAGTTGGCGGGTTCGTGGGTCCAAATTTTAGATATTTAAGTCTTAAATATCCAAATGGAAATTAAAAACAGTCATAGAACACATGTTACAGACTTGGCATTATAGGTTACAATTTATGACTTTAGACCATCCACCACGAGTAATAATGTCAAAACAATCAAATGGTCTATGAATAAATGATATATATTATATAATACTTATTATATATTAATATTTGATACATAAATACATTTAAAAAATATAATAATTTTTTTATTAAGAATATAAACGGGTTGGTGGGTCAACCCGTTTATTTTTTGAGAAACCCATATATGAACCATTTAATAAACGAGTTGGCGGGTTGAAAAACTCAACCCAAACTCATTTATTTATACGGGTTCACAAGTTGGCGGGTTCGTGGGTCCAAATTTTAGATATTTAAGTCTTAAATATCCAAATGGAAATTAAAAACAGTCATAGAACACATGTTACAGACTTGGCATTATAGGTTACAATTTATGACCTTAGACCATCCACCACGAGTAATAATGTCAAAACAATCAAATGGTCTATGAATAAATGATATATATTATATAATACTTATTATATATTAGTATTTGATACATAAATACATTTAAAAAATATAATAATTTTTTTATTAAGAATATAAACGGGTTGGTGGGTCAACCCGTTTATTTTTTGAGAAACCCATATATGAACCATTTAATAAACGAGTTGGCGGGTTGAAAAACTCAACCCAAACTCATTTATTTCGTGTCATGTCGAGAATTACCAACCCTAAATTTGTTTACATTTAATCATTGAACTTTTTTAGAGGGAAACAAACTTTCGATTTTGTTCATATTTAATCACTAAATTTTTTTTCGTTATTTATTTATCACTGAGCTATTGAAACTGTTCACATTTTACCTTTATGATAATAATGTGAACAATTTCAATAACCCAGTGGCAAATAGATAACGAAAAAAAAATTTAGTGATTAAATGTAAACAAAATCGAAATACATTACCCTTTCAAAACATTATCCCCTAAAATAACGAGAGATGCGAGTGAAATACAAAACATAAAACTACATGGCACGTATTAAAACAAACCGTACAGGATTCGTGTAATTTAGTCAAGTTCATAGAAACAATAAGTTGGGTAAACCCGCTGTAGGGTTTAGGGTTTAGTGGATAAAGTTTTGAAAACTATATAACGGTTAGGCCTAATCTCTTAAAAGACTCTGTTCACCTTCAATCTCAGATACTCTCCTTCACCTATTTATGTAGCGATCGATGACTGTTTGTGTATGTTTGCTTGCCAGCAAAATTCGTTGGAAATTTTCAAGAACATCATCCTGCTATTGCCCTCAGGTAATTCTGTTTTCATCTATAAGCACTTTCAAGGATAAGGCTTTTGTGATTCTTTCAAGCTTACGTTGGCAAACAATGATTAAGCTAAATTCTCACAGTTCCGCGGCAAATATCTAATCTTTGTCAAATTTGATCACAAGATCATTGAACGGAAGTGGAATTATTGTAATGTCCATCCCTGCGCTTCTTCCACAAAACAATTTAAAGCTCCTACGATGTTTCGGCGGGGCTAAAACCCTTGAGTTGGGCAAAGTAATTCACGCTCGTTCGATTGTGTGTAATCAGTGGTCTGGAGATAATATACCCAAGACTAATGCTTTGATTGCTCTTTACTCAGCAGTGGGATATGCACACTGTGTTTTTTGATCAAACAAATAAATGTTAACATAGATTCGTGGAGTGCTCTAATTTCGGGCCATTTTCAAAATGAGTCTGCTTTTGAAGTTGTTAGATTGTTTAAATCAATGGTTTCAGAGTCGTGCTCGATCGCCTAACAATTATATATCTTCATTGGTGCTTATGTCGAGTATAAAAAGGTTGGGTACTTTTTGTTATGCAATGAAGTGTTCCATCATTATGTGGCTTGTATTGCATGATGTGGGACATGGTAGGGGGCTGTGGAGGTTTTAGTTTCTGTCCCTCAAGTGGATAACTGTGCTTATAATCGGATCAAGGTTGGACCTGGTGAGAAAGCTTACATGGATGAGGCATTATTATCTTAAAGAGAATGTTGGCTGAAGATATGGTGTGGAACAAAGCTGCTCAAGAGTGAAGTTGAGGTTGATGTGTCTGTATGCAATGCAGTGATCAATATGTATGGGAAAGCTGGAGGTGTTAGAAATGCTTTAAATGTATTTGGCAGGTCTAAAGTTCCAAACGTGGTTTCATGGACACCGATTATGGCTGCTTTCTCAAAATGAGGGTTCCCTGAAGCGTAGATTACATTGTTTTATAATATGCAAATTGACGGGGTTGTTCCAAACGAATCTACCTTTTCTGTAATACTCAATGCTAGTGCTGAATTATTCTCTGTGAGATTTGGAAATGTATTGCATACACTAGCAGAGAAGACTGGATTCAAGGGTCATAAGAATGTCGAGGATGCCTTGATCATCATGTACTTGAGGACTGGCCACTTTAAAGCTGCTGAAAATGTGTTTTTAGGTATGACTTATGGTGATGTTGGAACCTGGAATATAATGATATGTGGGTACTGCCTTTATGGTTTTGGTAACAAGTCGTTGACTTTGTTTAATGAAATGTTGAAATTGGGGGAAGATCCTAATGATGATACTTTTATTGGTGTTCTCAATGCGTGTGGAAGAAGGGTTCTACTATTTTTATGAGTTAATGAACCAGAAGGGTCTGGAACCTGGTTTAGAGCACTATAGGTGTATCATTAATATTCTAATCAAGGGTGGAAGACTAGAAGAAGCTTTTGATTTCGTGGTATCAACACCACTCAAATGGGATGACAAGACTTGGAGTACCTTTCTCCGAGGATGTCATGCTCATGGAGACTATCTTCTATATGTCCAAGCTGCAAAGTGGATCCCTGATGATGTGCTGGTTAGTGAGTACGGTGTATCCACGGACATCCGTGAACCGATAGAAATGGAGAATGATTGATCAGTAGAACCCTCAAGAATAAAACATATACGGTTAATTCGGTTGTCAAGGGAGATCCATGGTTTGTTGAGCGCCATAAAATCATCAAGTCTTTGTTTGCTAGTATTAAAGCATATGCTTACATACCTGATACTAGTGATGTACTACATGATGAGGTTGATCATATGAGGGGGAGGAGGAGGAGGACTAACTTGAAGGTAAATCCAGAATGAAAAATACGCATTAATTTGATTCGGAAAATAAATGGTTGCCTAAAATGGATAAAATTTGAAAAGTTGGTTGCTATTACAAGCAATATGCCCAAACATATAATAAGATTTCATAGAGAGACTTGACAAGCAAATACAAACCATATCATTTTTACAACTGGAAACGAAGCATCAATATCACAAAAATTTAAGCTGATGCAGGTCAGGGGGTATCAAAACCAAATCACATGTTCTTAGACAAAAACACCAAACCAATCAAACCCCATTCCTACCCCAAAGAAACCCAAAAATAAAAAAAGAACTTTTTTCCACCAAAAAAAAAAAAAAGAAAGCCATTGACAATATAATTAAAAACCAACCACAAATTAACTAATATCGTTTACCAAGAACTATACCAATAATCACGGAAACCAATGCTACTCCCACGATGAACTTAATGCTTGTGCCAAAAGAATCATGAGCAGTTGCTTGATTTTGTACTGTGTTTGATGAGGCTGATGCTTGATTATTCTGTACAGTGCTTGATGATTCCGCATTTTTCTTGCTCTTGCGCTTTGATGGTGTTGTCATTGTTGCTCCAAAGTCCCTTGATTTTATCTCACTTGAGTTATCAGTAACCTGTAATTATAATTTTTACATAAAATCAGACACCTAACACCAACACCAAAAATAAATTATTCATAAATGTATGTATACATGTACAGTGTTTGTTTGTTACCTGTTCTTTAGCTTTAGCATTGGCTGCCTGCAAGTCTTTGATTTGTTTCTCCAAATCTAAAATTGCTGCCTTCTTTGCTTCCACCTCCTTCAAAGCTGCATCTCTTTCCGACTCCTAACAAACCAAAAAATAAGATTCAGAATTCAGCACCAAATGTGGCAAATATAATAGAACGTGTGAGTGGAAAACAGTTTTAGGCTGACCTGTTGGTCAATGGTCTTTTGAGATGCTGCTAGTTTCTCTTCAAGGTTCTTTAAATTGTCGTATAATTTAGCATTCTCTTCGATTTGTGCCTTGAGACTTTCAAGCTCAGCTTTTACAGACGTTTCATTAGATGCATGTTCTTTCACTTGCTCTTCAAGTGTAGTGATATATGTCTGAAGCTCCTTTTTAGCGTTTTGATGTGTTTCATTCAACATGTTGTTCTCTTCCATCAATGATGATATCTGGAATTCGGGGGGAAAAAAAAGTTAACATATACTTCTCTAATCCCACAAAGATTTAAAAAAAAAAAAAAAAAAGGAGGTAAATTACCTGAGACTGGAGATTCTGCCCTTCAGAAGTGAACTTTTCTTTTAAATCTTCAATTTCTTTTTTGGAGATATGGAGGTGGCTGAATGTCTCGTCTTTTTCAGTCAAAGCAGCAGTCAAACTTGTCTGCAGATCATTCAATTTGGCCTCGTAAGCAGCAAGTTCTTGAGTAAGTTTCAGATCTGCAAGCTCAGTGGCTTTAGAATGCTGTTCGGTTAAACTGGCTATAGTCTTGACATGAGAATCAATTGCTTGAGCTGCAGATTCCTTTTCGCTGTGTACCCCACTTAGTGAAATTTCAAGCTCGTTGACTTTGTCTTTAAGCTCAATAATGGTTGCAACCAACATATCGTTCTCATTGGTGGACTTGGTAACATTTTCTTCGGTTTCCAAAATCTTTCTTTTGAGATCTTCATTCTCACTTTTTGTATTGGCTTCTATCAGTAAAAGCTGATCTAATTCGTCTTTTAGCGAAGCAGATCTTTCGTTTGCTTCAACTAACTGTGCTTTGTATGTCTTTAATTGTTCTTCAAAAGTGTTTAATTTCTCAAGTAACGATTTCGCCTCTGTGTCTCTGCTAGTGAAATTCGCTACTGTTTCTCCCAATGATCTTTCTTGCTCCTCAAGTTTTTCCTCAGCTGACTTAAGCTTAGATCCAAGATCAGTTTCAACTGTTTCCAATTTCTCCTGAGAGACCTTGAGTTCATTTCTCAGTACTTCAACTAGGTTTTCTGCTTCAGCAACATGCTCTGATAACTTCCTCGAGGTGTCTTCCAGTTGTTTTTTCTCAGTGGTTGCTAAATTCAAAGATTCGGTTAATTCTTGTTCATTTTTAGTGACAGATTCGAGTGCAGCCTCAAGAGCTGTTGCTTTTGTTCGGAAGGCATCTAGTTCTGCTTCGAGTTCAGATACTTTATTGGAATGGACATTAGAACCTTCTTCTGTTTCTTTACATTTCTTCTCGAGTGTACTAATCTGCTCTTCAAGCTCCTGGATTCTGTACTTTTCTGCTTCAAGCAACAACTCCAATTCACTCGCCTTTTTACCTGAATTTTCAGCTCTTATATTCAACGTTTGAATTATATCTTCAAGCTCAACGCTACGTTGATGGTTCGTGTTTGCTCTTCCTTCATGATCAGCAGCCTTTTCTAGAACATTCTTAAGCTCAGACTCAAGCTCCGTGTGATGCGAAGACGATTGAGTCAACTCAGATTCTAATTTCTGGATTATATCTTCAAGCTCAATACTACGTTGATGACTCGTGTTTGCTCTTCCTTCATGATCAGCAGCCTTTTCTACAACATTCTTAAGCTCCGATTCAAGCTCTGTGGTACGTGAAGACGATTGAGTCAACTCAGATTCTAGCTGAGCTACCTTGTCTGTAAAATCTTTTACTTGCTGGTTTAGTTGATGCTTTTCTTCTTCGAGAGTGAATAGTGTTGAGGTAAGCTCGGATATTTTAGCAGAAAACTGTTGGAGTTCTGTTTCGGTTTCTTTCACTTTGAGTTCCAAGACAGATGATTGTGATTTTGCTTCTTCGGATTCGGTTTTCGATACACGAATAACTTCCTCGAGCTCAAGATTCTTCTGTTCCAGTTCTTTACGTTCAGCCAAAGCTTGAGACAAAAGGGTGTCTGTATTGGTGATGTTTTCGGTCGACACCTGTAACTTTGCTTCAAGATCAGTACAATGATTTTTAGTTTGTGCTAATTCGGTTTTCAAATCGACCACAACTACATTAAGAGCTTCCTTTTCGGTTGTTAGTTTCGTGAGTTCTTCACGAATTGAAGCCACCTCATCTTGGACCAGTACTTTTGCTTTCTCTTCCTCTTGAAGCTTCAGTTTGAGTTCTTCAAATGCGGATTCTTTGGCTTGAAGAGATTCCTTGGTTGATGAGAGAAGATTATCAAGGGACGAGATATTTTGTTCAAATTCTACAATTTGTGATTTAGAAACTTCCAACTCTTGTTGTGCTGCAGACAGCTCTACGGTTGTGTTCTTGAGTGTTTCTTCCACCTTTTCATGATCAGCGATTTTTGCGTATAAACCTTTGAGCTCTTCTTGGATTAAACCCATTTGATCTTCCATTTCTTTCGCACTCACTTGAGCCAACTGAAGCAATCGTTCAAACTCCATTGCTTTTTTAGTCTCCGATTCAGCATGTGAACCACTCTGTTTATGCAACTCTTCGAATTTTTGCGCATCATCTGCAGAGCGACCTAGCTCATGTTCTAGATCTTGCATTTTCTTTTTTGAGCTTTCAAGCTCAGTGTTTAGGGTTTCAAATGATTCTTTGACTTTGACCAGCTCCTTTACGTTAGCCTCTTGAGCTTGAAGTTCCTCTTGCAGAGTAGTAACCTGTGAATGATATCTTTCTTCAGCTTCTTTGAATTCCTCTTGTAGTTTCTTATGGCTGGCTTCGAGATCTTCATGTTTCTTTTCTTGTTGCTCAAGTTTCTCGTTTGTGACTGAGACTTGGTTTTTGAGATCGGTATTTTCGGACTCTGAATGTTTGAGGGCTGTGGTTAATTTTCCTAATTCGCTCTCAAGTTCACTTACTTTCTCCTGTGCCTCAAGTACTTCTCTGCTTTTTTCAACGATGGATGGTTTTTCATCTTCAACAGGCAATGCTCGAGATGTTGTATGGGATTCAACATCGTTTATTTCTACAGTTTCCTTTTCGACTTTTATAAATTCCCCATCTAAAGGCGCTTCTTCTTCCTTCTTGACCTCCTTATGATCTGCTGGGATTATGTCCTCCTTAGTTTCCTATATATTCACATAAATCAAAATCAGTATGAGCCATCTGAATTAGGGGTAGGCAATGGGACCAGTATACAGCTGTACAACTTACCTTAACAACCTTGGTGACTGGTACCTCTGAGCTTGCTACAGTCTCATCTTCCATCGCAGACTGATTGTAATAATATTAGAATTGTTGTGTAGACCCTGAAAACATGAAATTGTGATATTAGGCAACGAAAAATGAATCAGGATTTTGATCAGAGGCATCTAATAAAAAAAAAAGTTACTAGAACTAAATTATACCCTCCGTTATTTGTATATTTAATTCTACAGTTACACCAGAATTTATGTATGTGATCGTTTATGAATTTAATTCTGCGGGATATATCAGACTTCGGTTATAAATGACATTATTTTGAATATTATTAAGATAGTTCTCAAAAGTCTAGAATAACTTTCAATAAGAAAAACAAAATAATAATCAGTATGAACTAAAGTTTGTGCCAACACCTGATCATAATGATAATAAGTAATAACAAGCAAGTAAACATTTCAATAAGTACAACGTCAATTTAGTTGTAGGCTTGAAAAAAATAATGGGTAAGCAAATAGTTTAACTTTAAAGTTTTAGAAAATAAATATTAAAACATTTATGTGACATATCAATAAGAGGAAGTTCCAATCGTTACTCCAAAAAAAATGAGAACACTCTATTTCTATTGTGGAGAGGAAAAACTTCTCTTTCTTTTTTGTGTAAGCTTTTAAGCATAGTTTACTCTTTTTTTTTTTTTTTTTTTTTTTTTTGTTAATAGATATTCATGACCTTAAGCGTGCACGTTTTCAATTTTTATTATCATTCGATCAACTTTAAAATATTTAATCATTCCAAACATTGTTTAACAGAAACATAAATGGATGGAGGTCAATTCAATTAATTATCGCGATTTTATTCACAGGAATGAACCGTCAAAGAATTTAAACACGACATCACAACCACAATTTAAATGACCAGAAAACCCATAGAAAGCGACATCTTAAATATAAACAAGAAATGTCGCTGTTAACAATACAATATTAACAAATATAGACAATAAAATAGCTTTTGGTGAGAATTTAGAATTTCCAAAATGTATTAAAAGATTTTATAAAGCAAAATTTTTATACTTAAAATATAATAATAATTATCAAAAGGAGCCGATGAATATAAATGCAGGTTCATAATAAATCAAAAAGAAGGAAGATTGTACTTTTTTAGCTGTAGGACAAAAAGAAAAAGACGAGTCATAATTTTGTTACCCCATATATATATTTTAGAAATAGAAAGACAAATATAGTAAACTGTACAAGGAAACATGTGCGAACGTTTATTGGCCCAGAAAAATAATTGAAAGACAATATTGGGAAAGTTGCTATTGCATAGCTGGAGGGGCAAAGTCATCGGCATCAACAAACAAATAGACGGGAGGTCCGGGGGGAATGAGGATATGTCAGCATAGAAAATACCGAGATAGAGACTTTACCGATAAAACACTTAATATAGCCAACACAGCTGGAATTTTATGCTTTTTATCTTGTAGTTCTTTATGAAAAGGGAGTAATGATAAATCCATAGAAAAAAATGGAGAATATAATTCATCGTCAAATTTATAAAAAAAAAATTGTATTTTAGAACCTTCACTTAGATTATTTGCTGAGTTTTTATTACAACAAAGCTCTAACTAATAAATCAAAAAAGCAAAGTTGATTAATTCTCAGTAGTCTTTTTTTATATACAACAATTTATGTTTTAAAAGATCATACCAGTGTTTTAAAAATTGATTTGAACCGGCCGGTTGAACAGGTTGGAGCGGAGCCGAGGGAAGGAAATGGTTCAATTATAACCGGCATTATGTCTATTTCTAAATCGAAATGAACCGACTGATTTTTATAAAAAGTCGGTTAACCAGTTAAACTGAATAAAAACATATGGAAAAAAACTATTTTGAAACTTTAGTGGTTTTTTTCACGTCTATTTAGATTTCTTTAACTAAATACATGTGGTACATGTTATGAAGTTTTTTAATGTGTTTGTATTTATCTAAAAATATATTTTGTTTTGATATTGTATATTATTTTCTTTTGATATATGTGTATTGATCTAAAACTTATGATTATTTGTTATTTTAATGTATGTGAATAGATATACAACTTGTTTTTATGTGTATTTATAATGTTTGAAATTGTGGACGTCAAATTCTTGATTTATGTATGTATGTATATGAAAAAATGAAAAAAATATGAAAATTATAGAAACCGATTATCCTAATGGTCAAATCGAAAACTGATCGTTAAACCGATTCAACTAAAAAACAGGTTTTTAAAACATTGAATTATACAATATGCAAAAATATAAATATATACAAAAAATTGTTCTATATGAATCAACTCTATCCAAAAAAGCATTAAAAAATCATAGTTTTTTATTAGTTAATTTGTAGGACTTATCAATTATTTTTATAGATTCCGTTAAAATAATTGAAAAAACTCTAAGCTTTTAAATTTACAAATTGTAAGTCATTATTAAAAAAAATAAATAAATAAATAAACAGTACTATATTTGAAAAAACAGCCATATAATTTTTTTTAGTTTAAAAAATATATATATGTTGGGATAATGTAAATGTAACTGTAACTTTATTTACACGGTTCCGATTTGCACCAATTTAGGAAATAAAGCATGCTAGAACCGCAAAATCAGCAACATCTAATTCGTGAAAGAAAAAACAAATGGTACAATGTCCTGTCAGTCAAAATCATCATACGTCATCTTACACAACATTAAACTCTTGTATGTAAATTCTAAATCATTGTAGTACTACAAATATATACAATAATTGCTTTCATAGTCTAAATATATCTAAATAATTAAGTGGCTTATATTTTAAGCAAAAGCTAGATAAATATAAATTTTATCTTTACTCATATAACTTTAATAATTGTTAATTGGGGAATTTAAATAGGCTTGAACAAAACAAAATCAGTTTCGTTGTCTTAAAGGCTGCTTTTTCTTTACGATTTTCATTTCACTTTATGCAATTATAATCTGAAATTAAATCAGGAATAAAACTCTTTTGTCTAAGCTTTTGCAAACTTTTGACCATTTTCTAAGGGCAATTGTTACAAAAGTGTTGTCATACTATCGATATGATTTATGTTGACCATATCAGGAAAAATTTAATTCCTACCATCTCTTGTATTTCAAGAGAATGTTGTAATGAGTTTGATCAATTAAATTATTAGTAAAGACGTTTGATGGCAGTTTTCGTAATTTTACAAGCACTATCATCCAATCAGAAGAAATCAAAACAGTTTATAGGAAATAGATCAAATCTCACCAAACTCATGGTACCTCATATATATTGTTTTACTTTAAGAGATCGAGGTCCATATATATGATAATTTAAATCTATTGCTTGGGTTTTAACTTTTAACTAATTCAAGAAGCTGATCAGAAGCTGGCTTTTAATATGATCAGAAGCTGATTCAAACTAAGCAAAACGATAAAAGCTTGCTTCAGATAAACAAAACCATATTGAAAGTTCTATGATCAAATCAGGTAGAAAATCAGAGCATATCGATCTTAATATATCTAGAAAATTCTACATGATAAACCAAAGCAGCCATACGAAAAAGCTGATCAACAAAAATTCAAGCTGTCAAAAGTACCATAAATCGATGCAAAACTTAAATAGTTAATAGAGCGATGATCAGTGAATAATTCGAAATTCGATCCCGAACTTTCAGATACTTCTAATAAAATTTAAGCTTCCAGATACCAAAACAGAATCTAACCAAATTTTCACATACTTCATCATAACAAAGTGATTCAAAATAAAAGTACTAGAAATTGATTCTAAGTAGTTCATTTATCAGATGCCGAATTCTCATATACTGTGTACAAAATTTGGAGTTCCAGATACAAAATCAGCCAAATCTATTCCATATTTCAACATACTTTATACCAAATTTAAAGTAACCAAAAGTTCGATTCACAATAACACTTCTAAAAATCAATCGAAGCAATTCACGTATGGACTAACCTTAGATCTCTGAAATGATTCTTTCACCTTTACTGAAGCTCCTCCTTCAGAGAGAGAGAGAGAGAGAGAGAGAGAGAGAGAGACGAAGAGAATCTGGGTCGGTATAAGGGTATTAGTAGTAGCAATAGTTTTTCTTAAGTGGGGGTAAGACACGGTGTGGGGCCGTCTATAGTAATCGCCAGCCAATTAGGACATTGTTAAATAACAGACGGTGTCCTCGCCACCACTTGCCGTGCACATTTGCCACTAGATTGCTTACATAATTACAACACTACCCTATGTCTTAAACTCTTAATTACCAATAATTGCGTAAAACAAACTTTTAAAATTTGTAAAAAGTAATCATTTATATGTCTATGTAAATTTCTTCAGCAACTCAACATTCTTTTTTAAATTAATCCTCGATAAAACGTAAATGATATGTTGATTTCATTAATATATGGATGCTTGTCAAGCGCCCATTGTGAGGTTTTTGTTACAGTTTAGGGATGAGAAGGGAACTTTTCCGTTTCCATATTCAAGGCCGTAGGTTCTAGAATCACACCCATTTTAAGCTGTTCTTTTTCTCCTTTTTATGGAACTTCTATCCGTTAGATATTAAAAAAAAATAGTGTTTTTCACCACCACTTTGTCAAGAGCACAAACATCAAATTCAATACTTGAACGTGTTCACATGCAATACATGTACGAGGTAAATAAAACTGATTTGAGAATTTAATCGCGTGTGACGAACGTCTATGAAACGTCACTTCAGTGGGTTTTATTATTTATTTTCGTTTTTTATTATTTTTATTATTTTTTTAATTATATATATATATATATATATATATATATATATATATATATATATATTCTTGATTTTTAGATTTTTATGTTATTTTTCGTTTTTATTTTATTTTATTTTATAGTTATTTTAATTTTTAAAAAATATTTTAATTTTATTTTTTAATGTTTTTACTACATATTTAAAGATACTAGTGTTTTTGTTTACTTTTGTTTTTACTTTTTTAAACTAAATATTGGTTCGAGATTTTAATATTTAACAATTATAAAAGTTTTAAATAATAAAAATATTAGCGGTCAAAATATTTTCTGTTCATGCTATTTTTGAATCATATTATTATTAGATCATAATATTTTGACTGAAATTATTTTGAATCACAGTATCTTAGATTATATCATTTTTGAATTTCAGAAGAAAAAAAAAATGGATCATTATATATTTTGAATCATTTAATTTTAAATCATGAAATATATAATTAATGAGCATAAAATGTTTGAATCAAAATATTTTTAGATTATAAAAAACTTAAGACCATAAAATGTTGAATCAAAAAAATTTGAATCATCTCATTTTGGAACATATATGTTCAATATTTTAAAAAAAATCATAATCTTTTAAACTAAAGTTTGGTGTCTAAACAACTTTATTTATACAAATTTCTTTTCAAAAAAATTCAAAATATATGATATATGATAAACCTTTAAAAGAATTTTTAATTTGGAGAACAAATATATACACGTTTTATTTATTTTTTTATAAAAATTTAAAGTCATTTTTGAATCCTTTACGGTATATAGTTTTTAAAAATTCTTTTACAAACTTATTAAAATAGTAATACAAAGAGCACTATCATTTTTTTTTTTTTGAATTTGGATAAAAAAGTTTTCGTTATATTTTATAAAAACAATATCTCTTAAAATTAAAAAATAAACACCTCAAAAACTTACTTTTAAATTTTTTTTAGAAAGTCACTAATATAATTAGTATAAATGTTCCATAAATTTTTTTGGAGATTTTTATTTTGTTTTTTTATAAAAAAAAAAATTAAAAATGTATTTTTTTTTCAAATTTTAATGATTGTGCTCATTTTGTAGATAACTAAATTTTAAAAACTTTGAGTTTTTTTAAATTTTTCAAAGAAAAAAAGTTATAACCGAAAAAAAAAATTTGTAGAAAATAAAAAGGTTGAACCAATGGGAGGTTGACATGTGACTGAAGTGGGTGAGAGTCAAGCAAGCGGTGTGATAGCAGATTGAGAGGGCCGAAATTCTATTTTTTTCCTTTTCCATTTTATCCACCCAATCTTTTAACCTTCGTCGAAAATTATCAATATTTTGCACACAATTACCAAAACGATATATCACCTAACGAGATTTGACGATAAATAAAATTAAACCTCTACATTTTTTTTTCAAACTTACAACAAATATTTGTCCTCGCAATCCTCACCGATTTTTGAGTCTTCACTTGATCATATATATATATATATATATATATATATATATATATATATATATATATATATATATATATATATATATATATATGTGTGTGTGTGTGTGTGTGTGTGTGTGTGTTTTGTTTAAATGATTCTATATTTTTATAAAAAATACGACATGAAAATTTTCGTTTTCCAAATTAAATTATTTTAAAAGTTTATCATATATCATATATTACGATTTTTTTTCAAAAGAAATTTTAAAAAATGAGGTTGTTTAAATATCAAACTTTATTTTAAAAGATGATAATTTTTTTTTTAATATTGAACATAATATGATAAAAAATGAGATAATTCAAAAAAAAGTTTCGATTCAATATGTTTATGATCCTTAATTTGTTATGATTTAAAAATATTTTGATTCAAATATTTTATAATATTTAATTATATCTTTTAAGATTCAAAGTTAGATGATTCAATATATATAATGATCCAATATTTGTTTTTTTAACAAAAACTTTATTTAATTGAATGTATTATTGATCCAAAATCATATTGCGACATCTACAATTTTATGGTCAGTTAAAACTTTTTCTTTGCTTATTTAAAACATAGTATTATTTTATTTTTGTGAAAATTATCCTAAAACGTTATTAATATCAAAGCATTTATGAAGAGATATTTTTCATTAATATTTAAAACTTCGAATGTTATAACTAGTACCAATTATCTAGCTCTTATGGTCAAATTACCATGCCTATCGATTTATGAATGACAAGGCAATGGTCATGCTCAAGTTAAACACTAAATTGATAATAACACAATTGAACTATGATTGATATTAGTTACTCTTTTATGGTCAAGTTGAGCAACCCAGCACAAATTAATACTAATTCTTCTCCCTAACATAGTTAAAATTAGCTTTAATTACTCTTAACTAAAGTGAAATCGAAACCAAGCACAAATTAATCCTATCTCTAACTATTTACTAGTCATAAACAATTAGGAGATAGATTCATGCAATTAATATGGTCAAATAACACACAAATTTTGATTTATAAGTAATATAAACTAGAACCAAAACATGCTAGAGTTTATCTATATATCAAACACAAGTAAAACTAATAATAATCATCCAATATTGAAATCAACACATAAGTATCAAGCTCATCTTCACCAACACAGAAGTAAAGGTTATTAGCCTCTCATTATAGCAAGAAAACACATTAAATCTAAGTAGAATAAGCTAGACATAAGTTGAAATAGCAAACCAACTAGATCAATGTTGAATAACTTCAAACTCTTCTTTAATCCTTGAGCTTCTCTTGAATTTCGACTTCCTCTGGGTTTCTAAGGGTTAAGTAATCGCAAATAACCTCAGAGAACCGAATGCAACCTCCTCCATTCAACCTAATGACCGTGATTCTATATTTGTGGAAATTTGACCACCACATCATGGTTGACCGCCACCACGACATGGTCTTTGAGTAAATCCCGTAATTGCCATGTCAGCCTAATGGTCTCGAACATTCCAATCACCACATCCTAGTTAAGACGCCACGACGTGGTTTTCAGACCTTTTATTCTCTTCTTTTGATTTTTCTCCCATTTCCTACCTCCATCTCCTCATATTTTTTTCCCAATCAAGTCTTCATAGCTACAATACATAATTTAAACATATTAAGTACCTTTTGTTCCATATTAAACATAATTATAGCTGAAAGTATTAGAAATATGCATTAGATATGTAGTTAATTATGCATATATTAAAATACCTCACACTTGTCTTTTTCTTACCCTCAAGTAAAACTGATTTATTATTATCATATCAAAACCGTAGCTACCAACATTGCACAAGACAATCCATTTTGAGTCTCTCCATTACTCCAAGACTGCAACGCATGTATTTGTGTTTATATTTTTCCTAAGAACTTCCCCACTCCTAACTACTCACAATCTTCATAAACATTTGTCCACTTCTTTTGAACAACACTCGTTTTATATATGCATCCCTCTAAATCCATCCCCATAAATTTTTCTTAACTCAAGGTATTTTTGGTTAAACCCCAAAGCATACATATGGGAAAATAACCTAGATATATAAAAATACAATAAAATAAAATGACAAATTTTTGCCTTATTCTTGAGTCTTCATAATGTGGACCTTTTCTTCATATATTTCTTGATCTTCATAGCTTTGTAGACTCTTTTTCTTTCAACTTTTGCAACTTTTTTTTCTTTTTTCGGAACTTTTTCACTTTTTTTTATTCATTTCTCACTTTTTTTCTCTCAAACTAAAAACCTAAAAAGAAAAACATATGCTTAAGCAAGGGAGCTTAACTTCAACCCTTATTAGTTAAACGCATTAGTGTAATGTGCAATAACTACATAAGCTCCCATGGATAAAATTCTGGTACATAATGCTCTCAAACTAAGTAAGGTAGTGTTTTTGTTCCATGATTTCACTAGGATAGGGAAGTCACAAATACACTATAACATATATTGGTTCAAATAAACATTGAAATTCTCATCGGATCATCTCACATAACACTAACAACCTATATCTCAACATAACAATTTTTTTAACTATGTTTAAATTCATTAACCCATACCCCACACTTAAATGATGCAATATCCCTATCGCATGCTTAAACAATAAAAGAACAAAAATTTAAAAAGAAGAATTGGAACAGACTCCCCTTGGGTGTAGTGGCGAGATCGAAATTTGAAAATGTGTGGAAAGCTAGGACTTCTCGTATAATGGTTGTAAGCAGTTATTTTGAGCTCTTCTTTTTGTTAATGCAAATGTGACGAATCAGAATAAATTAAAGAACCAATCTTCAAAAGTGTGTAGAACCCCT